AGTCTTCGGTTCCCTCTGGTAAGGATAGCACTAGTGCACTACAGAGGGCTCGCTTCAAGGTTTGGAAAGCAGCTTCTTGCTCATCCGTCTAGTTGAAAGACACCCCTTTTTGTGTCAAGGTGGTGAGGGGCTTGGCTATCTTAGAGAAGTTCTGAATAAACCTTCGGTAGTAGCCTGCGAGACCCAAGAATTGTCGAATTTTTGTTGGTGTTTACGGAATCGCCCAGCCTTCAATGGCCTTGATCTTGGAAGGATCTACATGAATCCCTTCCTCACTGACTACATGACCCAAGAAGTTTACGCTGCGAATCCAGAACTCGCATTTTGAGAGTTTCGTGTATAGCCTTTCAACTCTTAAAGTTTCCAAGATTTGACGAAGATGTTGACCGTGCTCCTCCATGCTTCGGGAGTATATGAGAATATCATCGATGAAGATGATTACGAAATTATCGAGGAATGGGCGGCAGACTCGATTCATGAGGTCCATAAATTCTACGGGGGCATTTGTCTGACCGAAGGGCATCACAACTAATTCGTAATGACCGTATCGAGTTCGGAAAGCAGTTTTTGGAATGTCCTCTTCTCAGACTCGGAGTTGATGATAACCGGATCTTAGATCTATTTTGGAGAAGTAACTAGCTCCTTGAAGCTGGTCAAATATATCGTCAATCCGAGGGAGTGGGTATCGGTTTTTGACAGTGAGCTTATTCAATTCCCTATAATCGATGCACATCCTGAAGGATCCGTCCTTCTTCTTGACAAACAAGACCGGAGCTCCCCAGGGTGAGAAGCTTGGTCTGATGAATCCTTTGTTCACCAATTCGCTTAATTTACTGGATAACTCCTGCATTTCGGTGGGAGCTAACTTGTAGGGTGATTTGGAAATTGAGGTGACTCCTGGTATGAGGTCGATTCGAAATTCAATCTGTCTTTTTGGGGGTATTCCCGGAAGGTCTTCAGGAAATACATCCGCAAAGTCGCATGTCACTGGGATGTCTTTAATGTTTACTTCTTCTTTGGCTTTGTCCACAACATGAGCGAGGAAAGCATAGCTCTTCTTGTGCAGGCACTTCTGTGCCTTGATGCACGAGATAAGACGAAGATTGGCGCCATGTTTATCACCATAGATTATTAGGGTTTCATGATTAGGGAGGTGAAGGCGAACGACCTTCTCGTGACACATAATATCAGCACGGTGAGGGCTTAACCAATCTATGCCGATTATCACATCAAAACTCCTAATATTTACTGGCATTAAATCTATTTGAAATGAATGGTTGTTTAGTGTTAATGTGCACCCTACGTAAACATCTTTGGTTGTTTCGGTTTTCCCATTAGCCATTTCCACCATGAAGGCTTTGTTTAGCTTCTGGGGTTGTTGTTTTAGTAAGTGTTTGAATTTGTTACTAACGAAGATCCGCTCAGCTCCGTTATCGAATAAAATGCATGCGTAAGTGTTGTTATGTGGGAACGTACCAGTAACAACCATCGGGTCTTGAACTGCTTCACCTTGACCCAATGTCAGGACCCTTCCTGATCCTCCTGCCCCTTGGTTGTTGGATTTGGGGAAAATACGTCTGAAATGATCGGTTCCTCTACATCCATAACAAGTGTGACTAGCCCCAGCGTTATTATTATTGTTGTTGCGGTTGTTGTTGTTGTTGTTGTTGTTGTTGTTGTTGTTGTTATTGTTGTAGTTTGACTGTTGGTTCGGTTGGGGTTGAGATCTACAGTATCGAGCGGTATGGCCCTTATGGTTGCAACTTGTACACTGCATATCTCTGCATTCTCCATAGTGGTGGTAGCTGCATTTGTTACACTTGGGCAGGGTTCCCGAGTATTGCTTGGTAGTAGTTGGTGTAGTCGAGGCTGGAGCATGTGGTGTTGAGGCAACCTGAGCAGTAGCAGCGTGGACTGCTACAGTTTGTTGCTTTTTCGATGACTCATGGTTTTGTCGCCCTTTTCGTTTGTTGTCCTTGTTGTTCTTGTTATCTTTTCCCTCTTTCTTGCCTTCAGTTTCTCCTGCTTTGGCACCCTTCTTGTTCCCATGGTCGTAGAGCTTCTTGGATAATCTTTTAGCGCTGTCATATGTCTCTGGGTTAGCTACTATTACATTTCCTTGAATTGGAGAGGTCAATCCCCAAATGAATCTTTCAATCTTATTTCCTTCAGATCTGATTATGCCTAGACACAAGAGTGACAACTCACTAAACCTTGAGATGTAAGCATCAATGTCGGAGTTCTGAACTATGAGATTCCACATTTCCTGCTCCATCTTCTGGATCTCCCCTCTGGGACAGTATTCTGCCATCAATATTTCTTTCAGCTCCTCCCATGGCATAGCGTTCACCACTGGGAGTGTCATGACCTTCACGTGACCATACCACCAAGAAAGCGCTTGATCGACGAATGTGCAAGCTGCAAACTTCACCTTGAACTCCTCGGGGCATCCGCAGATCTCGAATAATGATTCAACTTTTTCTATCCACCTCTTTAGAGTTATTACGCCTCCTGTCCCGTTGAAGGTTCGAGGCTTGGCATTCGTGAAATCCTTGTAGGTACAGGTCCTTGTGGGTCCTTGGTTCATCCCCTGATTTGAACTTCCGGCTCCTTGCCCGTTACCTCAACAGTTATTTCCGTTGTGAAAATGTGCCAGTGCTGCGGTGACCGCAACTGACACTGCTGCTTGGAACACAGCTGAGTCTATCTCCGGTGGTGTTGGTGTCGTGTTGTTTCCGCGATTCGGTCTCTGAGGCATCTTCTGTCATGGAATGGAAAAATGTTGAGTATTTAGTGCATTCTAGTTTCGCGATTCCTTAATTATAGAACAATTTTGGTTATTCGGTTATACGTGTAAATGAATGCATACAATTAACATGAAATAAAAGTAATAGAACATGTAGCAGATAACAACATCATGATAATATATTCTACTGCATAATAATCTTTTTGATACATGAAAATTTGCCTATATAAGGCATACAATACATGAAAGAAATAAAATCCGACAGCGTGACGACTCCATGAGTAGTGTAATCACTTAATCATGAAGTCGATAATACATAGAGTAGTACATAAAAGGAAATCATAACAGTAGGGATAGTAGATGAAACTGATCCTAGTTGCGGCGGGGAGGTTCTGGTGGAGAAATCACATGCCAAAATGTCACGCCACGAGGTCAGCCATCTCGCTCATCTCCCTAGTGACCTTATCCCTCTCATGCTCTGCTTGCACGGCTCCGGCTTCTGTTGCTAAAAGTTGATGTCAAAGGGTGGCAACCTCCTCCTCTAATGAACGAGTCTGATCGATGGGATCCCTCGGTGTTGTGGGGTGGTCCTGCATCACCTCTGAAATGGGAGGCTCGTTGGGGACTTCATTAGTGTCCCCTACTTCCTCCATATCCTCATCAGGTTCCCCGAACTCATAATCGGTCTCCAAATATTCCTCAGGTCCTATACCTGGATCTACCTCTTGACCCATAACAAGTTCTCCTTCAATCAACCCATTGGCCACCAGGGCCTGATAGTAACGGATACCTTGTTGGAATTCTTCCATGACGACTGCGCGAGAAACTGGGGGGTGACAAGTGTGTGAGGGAAGTGTATATAGAGAGCATCTCAATTACTCCTATAATATCTTTAATTGTTTATGTTTGAGTTCCTTAAAAGCTTTTTGGATGCAAGGTTGGTAAGTTTCTAGATTCATTGTCCACCATGATCACTCTCAAATACATGTTGGTTGTATTTTGAATAAATATAGTTGATCAGGCTCTATTTATCCCCAATACGACTACATAACTGTCCGGGTTTAACCACGACGTTCAATTTCCTCCAGAGACTTTTAGTGTCATTGTATTAATGCTTACCTAGGTATGTTAATTATTTTATTCAGAATGTTTTAGTCCCATTGTATTTATAGTTGCATATCTTGCATGATTAGATATGCCAGTTCACTATAAACAATGTTCTGATACCAATCTGTCACACCCCCGAACCAGATGGTGGAAACGTCTGGGGGCTTGGGTGACTTCATTCTTGTAGTATCATCACATTGTATATAATTGAAACATAACATCATCATCATCACACATATAAGATTACAACTGTCATTGGTTTACATCAAAGATTGTATTTCAGTCCACTACAAAAAAAATCGATATAGCCACGGAAAAATTCCATAGCTAAAACATGATATTCCCTAGTTAAACATGATTAGCGACAAAATTTGCTACAGAACAATTCCGTAGTTAAATTCTTCGTTAGTAAACTTTCATTACGGAATCTGTAGCACCTTTGTAACGGAAGTTGCAGCGGACTTATTCTGTAGTAAAATAGTTACGGACTACATCCGTAGAAACATCGTAACAAATTAACTACAATTTTATCCATAGCAAGTCCATATCGAATTAACTACGCTCTGATCCATAGTAAATCTGTCGCAAGTTAACTACAAACTAACTTCGTAGCTAGTTTCCGTAGCAAAAATCCACTATGGTTAATGGCGTAGCTAATTCCCCGTAGTAAATTTAGTACGACCTAATTCCATAGCAAATATTTTGTAGTAAGTGCACTACGCTCTACTTCCATAGCAAATATCTTGTAGTAACTTTACTACAACACACCTCTCTTAGAAATGGTTTATAGTAAATTTACCACAGTCTACCTCCATTGCAAACTAAATGTGACGGAATATATTTTGTAACAAAATCCATAACAACTCCATATAAAGATACACAGTAACTCCGTAAAAATAACAAAAGAAAAAATTTATGACATGATTAATTCTGTATCAAAATGCATACAAAATGACTAAAAAATTCCGAAGCAAATTTATAATAAAATCAACATTACGAAATTGCAATAAAAAATAATAAAAATTACATAAGTTCTTATTAAAAAGAAATAGTTTATCATCGAATGAAATACTACCTTGTCCAAAACACCAATAAAACTAGTCTAGTAGCCAAACTCAACTAGAAATCTTAAATCTGCAATAAAAAAAATTGTCACTGGTTATTTGTGCTTCTTATATCATTTATCATGTTTCTCACATCATTGAAGTCCATCCTTTGTTGCTCTATATTTTCCTCTAGTTTCTGGATCTTGGTCTCAAGATGATGTTTTTTAGAAGTTGTATCCGGCGAAGTGCAAGTTTGAGAAGAATTTTCACGCCAAATGGACCTGCCATATGATCCAAGCCCATAAAGTCTTCTCTTACGGTCATGTCCTCCGACAACTGTATAAAATAGTTCACTTTCATCAACTTCCTCTCCCAGCAGTGCCAAATCCGCACGTCGTGACACCAACAAATCCTACAATGTTATTATTGCATTAATATATAGTAAGATTTTTTAAGTTCTGATTATCAAATAAATTAAAATTAAGCTTACATGAACTTCTTTAGCTTTGTCAACTTGAAACGTCTTTCCATCATGATCCTTAGTATGAGTAAACATGAATACATCATAGCATGATGGAGCTTGTCCCGTATATTCCTCCTATGTTAATACAATACGTATGCCAAATCTCACCACAAGATGTATTGAAAGAAATATATTATATGACTATTAAAAACCCTTACCATGTCGGCTGGAATTTGATGATGTGAAGCCGATCCGCCATTATGAGTAGGTGGGGCTTTTCCACCTAGTACACCTTTACGTCTATTTTTTTTATTTTGCTCCAATTTTTTCTTGAACTCCTCCGAATTCCATATTGCATTCCATGAATTCCACACTTGTTGTTTCATGTGGAATGGCTTTTCACGAGTCGGATTTCTTGTGATGATGTCATAGATATACTGTCGATATCTTTCTTTGGCTTTCTGTTCCCAAGCAGCCTTGACTACTGAGTCACCAAATACAGCATCCCACTGGCATTTTTTCTACAATACATAACAACAATTAAGTTATAATAACCGAACTATATGACTAAAAATTACATAAAATCAATATAACAAATCATGTACATGAAACTCTTCCCAATAAAACTGTTTTATCTCTTCACTTATTGTTACCCACTTATATCCATTTTCATCCACTTTATCTAGGAATGATTTCTTAATTATGGTTGAACATTTACCTGAAGGTAATAACCTATAAAAAATAGCATACTAGTATGAACAAATCAAACTTAAACAAAAAAAACATGAAAATCAGTTAGTATGGTAACTTACGCATTCTCTCGAACTTTAATATGTATGCGGCCATCTTGTTGTTCGGTAGCAATTGGTGTCGATGGGGTTTCTGTAGAGGAAGGGGTAGAAGATGGGGGTTGTGTGGATGATGGGGCGGATATAGTACCAAACGGTGGGGGGAGTAGATGGTGTATGTGTGGATGCAAGGGTAGATGTTAGGATTGTTGTGGAGGCAGGGGCAGACGATGGGGCTGGTGTGGATGAAGGGGTTGATACACTTCCAAATGGTGGAGAGGTAGATGTTGTCGGTGTGGATGTAGGGGTAACCAAAGGGGATATTACAGTACCAGATGGTGTAGATGCTTCATTAGCATGCCTTTGTAACAGACGATGCATGTTCTAGTGTGGCCTTGTTGGAGCTCCTTTTAATGGGAATGGAGACATCTTTTCTGTAATATAGCAAGTGCGTTAGAAATACAAAATTATAAGTTTGAAATATATTCATTAGTAATAAAAACTCTTGCATGAAATTAAAAGAACATGGTACCAATAAAATTCATAATCACAATTAGTTTACATATTCAGTTTACACGAATGCATAGGGTCCTAAGGTTGCTATTGAACTAATCATATTATAAGCATCATTCCATTACATTTTCATGATTATAAACATATATACAGAGTGACAAACCCACAAAGGGGTGACAACTTGCACACTGTTACCAAAAAGGAGCTAACTGATATTACAACCCCTGTCAAGCGTATAAGATGATTGAAAAAAGGAAGGGGCAAGATCGATCTATATTGTTATTAAGAAATACAGGTGTGCCCATAAAAAAACATACGTAAGGAATCATATAAGATGATCTAGGGAAAAACAAAATAGAAGAAAAACGATGTTATAATTCGTTATGGTCTTTTTTAACATTTGAAAGTCGATGGTTGATATTGTTTTTAAAAAAAGGCCATGTGGTTGTAAATAAAGGTCTAAACGATTTTGGTCCATTGCTTACTTTTGTTTTTGATAGCTAAAGAAGATGATCAGTGAAGAATATAAAAGAGCAAAAAACATACCTGCTATCACAAGGCCTGGAAGCACCGAACAATGGAAGCAGAGGAAACACAACAAAGGACGTATAGATGAATAGTGAAATTCTCCTTTGTGTGGGCAAGTTATGCCTAAGTAATGGGGGAGCGGTTTTGACGGGAGTGGATATAGGGAATTCTGTTTTCCTGGGAGTGGGATACGAAATTAATTTTTTTGAATATTTTGGAAGATTTGTTTTGCCGGGTGTTGAGATAGGAAATTCAAAAGTATATATTATTTTTTCACTAATGTACAATAAATGAGAGAAGATATATAAGGGAAAAAAGTAATTTATGTGGGCTAGATATACATGGAAAGGATTTCACATATATAAGGAATATGTCAACTGGTCAAATCTTAGGTGTAGGGTAATTTCGTCCATTTTGGAAAATAAAAGATTATTGTGGGATAGTTGACTTTTATTGGAATAGTTGCATTTTTCTTGTTTTGGGAGATTAGAAATATGGTATACTGGGATTGATAAAGACAGGAAATGGAATTTTATGTTTTGGGTTCTCTTTAATCAACTTCCATTGACTTTTGAAGCTGGGCAATTCAGTCAAAATATGAATGGAAAAAATGTTTTTTGTCTGTTTATATCATGTTCCTTTCCTGTTATGTTAATGAAGAAATAAGAAATAACTATGGGTATTTTGTTAATGTTTGTATTAACTGATTGGATCGAGTCAAAAATGGGTTTTATACCAATTTCATTTGGGATTTAATGGACTACGGGCAATTTGGACAAAATTTCAAAAGGAAAAGCTTATTGGTATGCTGTTATTCTTATTCCTGGATCATGAATGATAATAAGAAGAGAATGATCTTTAAAATGATGTTGATTGGATTGAGTTGGAATTTAAATGCTAGTGTAATTCTTTGTTCAAGACTAAAGGGCAATTTTGGAATTTTCTGCACTGGTGGATTTTCGAGTTCTATATTGTTGATTTTTGCAAATCTTTATTGTTGGTTGAGATTTAAAAAAATTGTTCGTTATAATCAGGTTTCAAAAGAAAATTGATAAACATTATTAACAAAAAGTTACAAAAAAGTCAAAAAATATATATATATATATTTAAAGAATATGTAAAAATAGTTAAAAAAAACTAAAAGTTTTTTAAAAATATAAAATTTTGAAATTATACCTATTCATGAATGTCATAATCAGATTAATCTTGGGTTCTCTTTAATCAACTTCCATTCCATCACATTTTGAAGCAGGGGCAATTCGGTCAAACAATGAATGGAAAAAATGATTTTGTCTGTTTATATTATGTTCCTTACCTGTTCTATTAATGAAGAAATAAGAAATAACTATGGGTATTTTTTTAATGTTTGTATTAGCTACAAGTATTTTATTATGGGAGATATTAAAAAATGGTGTATCATAATATCTAAAAACAGGATCTAGAATTTAAGGTTTTGACTAAAGGGTATTTTGGGTATAAGTTGGATGGTTTTGTTCTTTATGTATATTTGTAGCTCAAGGGGGATTTTTAGGAAATAGAATAAGAACATGGATTGAAGTAAAAGATAGTAAATCATAAGCCTCTTATGAACAAACCCATAATCGGTTCTAATTACCTATTTTCAGTTCCAACTGGTTCCATACCCACTTTACCCGGTCCAATACCCAGAACAGAACCGGAAGAGGCTCCCCTATACTCGTCCGATTTCGGGATTTTTTAGGTCCTATCCCAATCAGGTCGGGTTCGGATCCAGTTTCATCCCTACAAACAGTGGTTGATTTTAAATACGTCATTTATGTTAGTTGACATCAGGTCATCTGATCATCCGTGATCGTTTAATGGGTTTGTACTTTTTTAGAATACCTCCAACACTTAAAAACTTTATTGGAAAATTTAGTACAATAATAGTTATGGGTTTTTATGTAATATTGAATAAGTAAAATTTTGATTATGTAGCAAACATTGTATCAAGTTGGGTACAAACATTGATCTATAAAAAATGTTCATAGAAAACTAGCTATGGATTTTGATTCTGTAGCAAATTTGTAGCTAGATAACTATGGCCTTCAGTTATGTAGCAATTTTGTAGTAAATTAGCTATGGATTATGATTCCGTAGCAAATTCTGTAGCAAAATAACTACAGACTATTACTCGTAGTAACTTCTGTAGCAAAAGAGGTACATATTATGATTTCGTAGCAAATTCCGTTACAATCTACCTACGACTTCTGATTTTGTAGCAAAATTCCGTAGTTATTCAACTATTACATACGGAATGCAATTCTATAGCAAATTGTGTAGCAAAATTACTACGGATAGCCATTTCGTAGCATATTCCATAAAAAAATAGCTACGGATTATACTTCCATAGCAGATTTCCATAGTTATTTAGCATTTTTCTAGTAGTGATATTACATGCCAAAATATCCAAAGTATGATGAAAACAAAACATAACAAAACATCCAGGTATTCTTGCTGACCAACCTGCTCAATGATTTCCTAAGAATACAAGTTAATTTAAAAAGGTCAACATATATAATGTTGGTGAGTTCATAAGCATGTTTAGAAAAAAATGATTTGTATTACTTTGTAAACACCAGAAAATCCGATATTTTCTGAAAAACGGTTTGAAATGTTTGTGTTCGATCTTGTCTTAATGCATGTGTGTTAATGTTTATGAAAATATAAAGAGAATGACCCCAGACAACCCGATGTTGTCCGTTTAAGAAAAACTTGGAATCTCAACACCCGAGGTTGAGTACCAGTGCGTGTAGGTTACCGTGTTTCCACCAAAGAATGTTTCTCGTAAATTTTATAATGGTGTTAATTCCTCTAAGTGAGCCGTTATAACCATACTTGATAATGACAATTTCGCTTGTCATGACGTCTATAAGACGCCAACTTGTTTAAGGTAAGGTTTGTCACCCTAGACAGCCCTAATCTAACTGTAGCGAACAACTCAGGTGTGGGGTGTCACCCCCGTATAGATCTATACACAAACTCTCGCTCTCTCTCCGTGTCACACCCCCAAACCAGAACGGCGGAATCGTTCGAGGGTGGATGACTTCATGTAGTATCATAATAGTTGAGTAAATATTAAAGAAAGGAAACACAACCATCATAAATATAATTTAAAAAGTTACATTGTTGATAGTATTACATGTTTCAAAAGAAATTACATTATGATGATATATTAAGTTTGAAATTGGCGCCTTAGCGTCCCTTCCCCAAAAGTTGTTGTTTTACCTGTATTACGGAATCCCTGAGAAATACAAGTAGTTTCGAAAAAGTGTCAACAATTAAGTTGGTGAGTTCATAAGCGTTTTTGTATTAGAATTGTATGCCTTTTTGTAAAAATAATTGTGTTTGTTTCTTAGAAAATCCAATATTTTCCATAAATGTATAGTAGTTTTGAAAGATTTGAAAACCGAAATGCATAAGTATTTTCCATACCTCAAATAGGGTAAGTAGATTTATATATGTATATTGATAGTTTCATTTTATTTACTTCTTTTTATAGTTTATTTTAGCACATTCCATCTCATTTTAGTTAATCTTCATGCATATTTTCTCTTTTTGTTATTTTTCTCCTTTACCGGGTGCTTTCCAGTCTTTTAAGCTTATTTGCAGGATTTATCGAAGACTATTTGTCATTAGAGGTATGGAAGGAGTGCGGGACTTTTGGAGGCTTGCGGTTTGCTTGTGGACTTGAAGTGGTGTGATTGGGCATGTTGTCAACATAATCAAAGGAGCAAGTTGGGCTTAATTTTAGATGAAGAATGATGATGATGTGAAGAGAATTTTGAGCTATAGAAGATCAAGGAAGCAATGGCCCATCTTAGGAGAGTCAAGAAGACACAATTGGGCTATCAAGAACCTTTACATGTGGGATGGACCAATAAATAAAGGAGCAAAACTAGAAGTCCAATCAAATGGGCCAAATGGCCCAGATTCACGCGGTCCGCGTGGATTTACAAATGGTCCGCGTGGATCTCACTGTGAAGAATCCGGATTTTTGACTTTTTGACTCTATTTTGGGAAGGTTGGTGGAATGCTTTTGGGGGACTTTTAGATCCGAATTTTTACACCTATTTACTAGTTTTTGAGGAAGAAAGGGGGGGGGGGAGACTTTGAAGAACAACACTTTTGCTCTCTAGAAGATTGGAAGATTTAGAAGCTTGGAGAAATTTTTCTTCCAACTTGCATCTTGAACAATGTTTGGTATCACTAATCTACTTTGCATTTCTTTCATTTTGGCCATGCTTGGCTAGACTCATATTTGGTTGACTTGGATGTAATTGTTTGAATGTTTTCGTTATTTTGAAGAACTCCATGAACTT